GAGCCTTCTCCAGCGTTTCAGCCCGGCCATGCATGTGGGCAGCCGCGCCTCCGCTGACCTCTGCTTTGAGAGCTTCCTGTGCGTCCCAGGGAAAGCACCGTGGAAACGCGAAGCCTTGCTGCCCCACATGCGGCTGCAGGATGGTGCAGTGAGCAGGCCTCCAGAGAGCGACTGGAGGGGCAGCCGCGCCTCCGCTGACCTCTGCTTTGAGAGCTTCCTGTGCGTCCCAGGGAAAGCACCGTGGAACCGCGAAGCCTTGCTGCCCCACATGCGGCTGCAGGATGGTGCAGTGAGCGGGCCTCCAGAGAGCGACTGGAGGACCCCAGACACCACTGCCTGGTCACCTGCCCTCCCCCACCACACAAAGCTCGGACATGCCAGCCGTCGCCGCCATCTGCAAGCTCCCAGGCTCAAGAGAGGATGGTGGTCGTTTCTCAGAGTGAAAATCCCCCTAGAAAGGGAAGTCCCTGGTTACAAAGCCCTGACTTTGAACGCACAGCACGTGTTCCCCTGAACAGGGGAGTTTTTTTGCTGAAGCATGTGGGGAAAGCATAATGAGAGTAGATTGTCCAGAAAGCCTTGGAGAGAGGGGTGCTGTGAGGAGGAGGTGAGAAGCACAGCCCGGGAGCCCATACGGGCCTTCTGAAACACCAGCTGTGTGCTCCGAACGCTCCCCACCCACTGGATTCTGTGCGAAGCGCTGTGTATGTAACCTGCACGACAGCTTGGGGAGTGTCCGATTCTCCCTTTTCAGATGAGGAAACTGGGGGACCCCACCTCATTGTCCACCTAATGCTACCCTCTGTTAAAGTTCCAAGGATGCCTGGTTATGTTAAAATCTCAGACCTGATTCGCATTGCCCCTGTGGCAGTTCAGAGCACAGTAAGCCATTTCCAGCATGGCGAAGGGCCTTATTGGCCTTCCTGTTTTAGTGTCACCCTGAGATCCCAGAGCCTGCCACATGCCACAGCCCTTCAAAGCTGCTGGAGAAGCGAGGTGGACACCCTTCCTCCCACCCAGCCAGGTTCTCCAGCCGTGCTGCCTCTGCGTGGCTGTCTCTGCGTGGCTGTGTTTCTGGAGAAAATCTGGCGGGGTGGCTCCACCTGCAGCCCCCACTAGCGCAGAGCGTCCTGGGGGACCCTGGAGGAGAGGAATGTCTGAGAGGCCATGGTATCACTCTGCCTCCATGGCCTGTGCCACCCACCAACCAGCTCTTCAAGGTGTGCAGGATTCCAGCCTGGGAGCATACCCCCAACCTGGCCCCACACCCACCCCGTGGTGCTTGAACATTAATTTAGAAGCTGGGGTTTCCAGATGGGCCCACGGCTTTTACTTTACCGCAAGGGTTGGGTCGTTGCCGAGACCCAGATGTGAGTAGCGACCTTACTCTCCCAGCCCAGGGTAGCTGCTGCAGCCCCGCCCGCATCTGGCCTCTACTGCCCGGGTTGCAAGTGCAGCCCGCGCCTGGTGTTCGCCTCCTCGCTCCGCTTGCTCAGTGCGGTGGGAGTGAAAGGAAATGGCTGCCTCCCTGGAGCTGCCTTCCTGCCAACAGAACTTCTCCACCTAGGGCCTTGCCGGAGGCATCTGAGGGCTGTAGCTGAGTGACTCTCCATTGCTGTTTGCTGTGCCTGCGGTCTCCGAGACTCCTCCCGCCTAACCAGACCGGCTTGCCCAGGATGCGCTCCTGTCCACTGAAGGTCGGAGAGCCACACCCTGTGCCGTGCGACTTTTGCTAACCTTCCCTTCTTTTCCTCTTTTCTCCACAGTGCGGCAAAGGAGCGGAAAACTTCGACAAGTTCTTCACACGAGGGCAACCTGTCCTAACGCCGCCTGATCAGCTGGTCATCGCTAACATAGACCAGTCTGATTTTGAAGGCTTCTCATATGTCAACCCCCAGTTCGTGCACCCCATCTTACAGAGCGCAGTATGAAACTCACCAGGAACAACCGATGCCTCCCCGACCCCAGGCACCCCCACCCCTCAGCAGTGGGAAATGATCCTTAACCCTAAAATTTTAAGGCCACAGCTTTGAGTCTTACTCCACCTGGAGGCCTGAAAATTGTAGGGTTATTAGTCCAAGAGTGATCAACCGTCCAGGGTCTCTCTCTCCCAACCAGGAGCATCATCGCAGTGGAGGACGTCGTCATGTACAGTGCCCACTGTACCTCGACAAAGTCATGTCTGGCTGTCGGTGACCCTGCCCTTCCTAGAAAAGCAGATAGACCCTTGCCCCTTTTTTGGTACGATTTGATATGTTTTCATCTCCTCCATCTGTGGGTTCTCACCATCAGGATCCCCCAACCAGAGATGTTAGAGTGAACCTGCCCCCAGCCCAGGGAGCAGCAAACATCTCCACCCCCACCCATGTCTTTGGAATGCAAAATGGGGAGCCCAGAGTGTGAGCCAGGGGGACCAGGGGTGGGGAGGCTTTGAAATACCCGCCGCTTCTGTTCTCTGCCTCGATGGGGACAGTCCCTAGAGTCTGAGAGGCCAGATGGAGTTGATGGCTGCTCCCCAACGTCGACGCGTCGTAACCTAGCCGGAGTCCCATGGTTACCAGTTCAAAGGAGAAAGAAGGAAAGGAAGCAAACCTCAGATGCGTGTCGGGTGACTCTGTCATCTGGTACCCTACTTGTGATAACTGTCTTGCTTGATACTTAACATTCTTTTTAAGAGGCCAAATCGTCCAAGGACTTTGCTGAACGAGCATGTGAAATCATTTCCGATCAAGGACAGACCAGTGTGTATGTACGTTCATTTTAATCTCTGGGAGATTACCCTTTATCCAGGGTGCCATCGTAATCATGCCACTACTCACGAGTGTCGTTAGCCAACCCCCCAACATTGTGCTACCTACATTGTTTCCCTTCCTGAGACGCTCAAGTGGACGCCCCACCCCCTTTTGTACTTATTTATTTGATAGGCTGCAGTGTCGTTTACGACAGTACGATGTATAGTAACGTAAGTGTTGGCTGTCCCAGCAGTCCCGTTGGTGGCGTCTCCTCCTTTCTCAAGCCCTGGACGTCCACTGGATGCAAAACAACACGGTTTGGGCTCCCATTCCCAGTTCTTGTCGAATAATCCCCGTGGAGCTGTAGAATCAGGAAACTGGATGCATATCAACTCAAAGCTATTTTATTGCTAGAAGGATTTTAATATGTTTTGCAAATGCATCATGCAATGAATTTTGCATGTTTATAATAAACCTTAATAACAGGTGAATCTATATTATTGATATAAGCGTATCAAGTATAAAAAGAGTATTATAAGAATTTTATAAGACACAATTGTGCTCTATTTGTGAAGGTTCTTGTTTCTAATCTGCTTTCATGATTACGTTTTAGCTTAATTCATTGCCGCTGTGCTCTATCTTGTCCCCACGCCCCTCCGCCCGCCCGCACATGGGCACTGTACCAGATATATTAATTTTTTAACGTAGATCTAATTTCAAAAGTGAATGGCTACTTTACATGATCAATTAGGCTTTTACTGTATATGAGTGTATGTGTGTATATATATGCACGTATTTGCATATATATATATGCAGTCAATTCTTTGTGTGGGGGTTAGTGTTAAGCTGAGACTCTCGCTTCACTTTCTAATGCCATCTTCTGTCTGAGTTCCTCTGCCACTCTTCCTCTTGGGGACACCGGAAGCCTTTGAATCCCGTGTGCCTGGCATATTTGTGCAGGTGTGGCATCGGTGCAGCCCCTGGGCTGGACTTCCTGTTTGTGTGTATCTTGTCCCTTCAGCCTTGTGACTGCTGGTGACCCTGGGGTAGGGAATCAAGCAGAGCACCTCTTGTGACGTAGACCCGGACACCCGAGAAGCCACTGTTGGCCTTGCTGCCGCTCTAGCAGCTCAAACCCCATGAGACAAACTGGGCATCACCCCTGAGCACAGCTGTCCCCCTCTCCCCACTGCAGGTTCCAGAACGTTCTTTTGAGAGGCTGCAGTTTTCTTCCAGCTGCTGCTAGAATTGACCTTTCCAGTCTTGAAAGGAACAGTGCTTTGATAGACACTCTCCCAGGGCAGGGCCCTCAGAGGAGCCAGGCTTCGGCCATGTAAGAGAAGGCCAGGAGGAAAGTAGCTGCCAGTACTCAGAGGGAGCCGTTCCTCAGGCTGACCCCGGGCTGTTGGAGCTCACGTAATGTCCAACCACCGGAGGCCTTCGAGGTGATGGGCCTGGGCTGTCCTGGAAGCCCCTAACTGGAGGGAGAGATGAGTGGGGAGTGGGCCGGGGTCAGAAAAGAGTCATTTCTTCTGCCATCTTTCATGGACTAGCAACGTCAAAACTCAGAGCCCTCACTCATCTGTGCCTGCAGTCTTGCGAGTCAGTGCATGTGCAGAGGACACGTCTTCACCAGGTCCAGCTCAGTTGGTTTTTAAAAAGAGCCTAGGAGTCAACAGGCAGGCCCCCCCACCCACCCAAGGATGATGCAGCAGCGAGGCTGACCGTGGCCTGCCCCGGGCTGAGGCGGTCGCAGGTCGCGTGGTGGTGAGGGGGGGTT